TGTGTATACGTGTGTGTGGGGGTGGGGGGGTCTGCAGTTGATGCTGATTAAATCAACGTGATTGGTTCATTTTAACAAGATTTTTTGTTTGTTTTAAATGAGTATGTTTTTGAGGTGGAGGGGGTAGGTTATTCCCCACTTTTGTGGGATACGCACATTGGAGGGTTATCAGAATTTTGAGAATTTTTGGGGGTGGGGGGGTCTGCAGTTGATGCTGATTAAATCAACGCGATTGGTTCATTTTAACAAGATTTTTTTGTTTGTTTTAAATGAGTATGTTTTTGAGGTGGAGGGGGTAGGTTAATCCACACTTTTGTGGGATAAGCACATTGGAGGGTTATCAGAATTTTGAGAAATTTTTTTAAACTTTTTGTGTTTGTTTTGACCTCATTTTCAATTTTCCTCGACGTACATGAGGTTAGGAAGTGCTAGTTCCAGGTGCCACCCCGCCCCCAGTAGTACGAATGAAAAATTGTGGTCCCCTCAACCATTTAAATTGCCCATCCCTGGCGTTGAACTCCACCGGTGGTGGGAACTGAGGGGTAATACTTTGTATGCAACGGACACATTACAAAACAAAGCACTACAGTTGTAAAATTTTAAACGTCCGTACATCACCGAGAACTACGAGCATAAAAATAAAGAATTTATTTCCCATCTCACAATATGAATCACAACTGAGCTTTTTTTTTTTGGGTGACCAGTGAGTTTATACACCGAGCGATTAGCCCCAGAAAGAGTCCAATCTCACATGAACATTTTACGACGCATCACTTTGACCTGTGACCTGGAAAAAAAAAGGGAGAAAATGGCTACAGCATCGATATTGGCTTTAAAATATTACGACGTGTCAGAAAATAGCTTGCGCTGCAACTTTTTTTTTCCCTAAACTGATGGAATTTGCTTTGGTCTAACAGAGCTGTTAAGCTCATGTCTGCCGCTGCCATTAGAGAATCCCTTGATACAGAGATATAATTAAAAACAAGTGTTTAAGTCGGGGTGTGTGTGTGTGTGTGTATGGCCAGAGAGGAAGTAAGACATTGAGGGAACAAGTAAAAAATGGCAAAGACAACATTGAGGGAAATGCAACTGCCTGAAAATGGACAGCGTTACGAAGACACGATGTATGTACGCATATTAATTTATGTCTATGTGCGGACTCTTTCAATTTCCTCTTGTCTGCCGCTGCCATTAGAGAATCCCTTGATACAGAGATATAATTAAAAACAAGTGTTTAAGTCGGGGTGTGTGTGTGTGTGTGTATGGCCAGAGAGGAAGTAAGACATTGAGGGAACAAGTAAAAAATGGCAAAGACAACATTGAGGGAAATGCAACTGCCAGAAAATGGACAGCGTTACGAAGACACGATGTATGTCCGCATGTTAATTTATAGACCCCCAATTTTCAGCTGGCTCATTGGGATGGTTTGCAGAGATGTTTCCAAAAGAGCAGAGCTTCAACAGACTTGAAGCTTTTCAATGCTACCTCAGTTCTTGTGCAGCTAACACAGGACTTGAGTGAGAAAAAGCATG